GGCCGGAGAGTCTTAGGATGTCGGTGCGGGCTTGGCTTTAGAGTTTAGGGTCTACTTGGGGGTTCAGGCTTTAGGCTTTAGAGTTTAGGGTCTTAGGGGTTTAGGGTTTAGGGTTTAGAGTTTAGGGTCTTGGGGTGGAGGGCTGTAGGTTTACCTACGAGACATACTGCACAAGCTTTGTAAAGTAGTAAATGAGGGTTCCTTGTCATGAACTCCCTGGTAAAAGGTCGAGGAGTCAAGTCTTGTTGGGGATTAAGACCCCTAAACCCCAAACTACCCTCCATTGTACCTGAAATACCTACTATTTAGGACCACAAGGGCTCTATTTCAGAGGCTCCGGGCCTAGCTAGTGAGGGTTTAGGGTTTGGGCTTTAGAGGGTTTAGGATTTAGGCTCTAAGTTTTTGTTGGCGGTATGGCTCCGGTCTGAAAGACACACTCCCCAATTCGCCGAAGCATGCTAGAGGAGGGGCCAGAGAGGCTTTAGGATTTAGGATTCAGGATGTAGGATTTAGGGTTCAGGATTTTAAGTTTTAGGGCTTAGGGTTGAGGCTTCCGCTTTGCGGTGGCCGAGCGGCCCATGGCATCTTCATTCCTCAGTTTCTGGGATTAGGGCAGCGCCTCAGGGATGTTATGCAAGGTCTATCATTTTGCGGTTGTCATGGGCCGACGACGGATTACCTGCGACCACCCAACTAAGTGAACGAATTACCTTATTCTGCCATGCACCCACCATTCAGGGTCGCAAGCCCTTCTGAAATTTATCTTGGAGTGTCCTGGACCCTGAACCCTTAAACTCTAGCTTCTATCCTCCGCCCTGCCCCAAATCTGGGGGTGGCTCTTAGCAGTAGCACAAGAATTTGGCACTGTGAAGAAAGATCCCGCAATCGAACTGTGCCGCACGAAGGGCAAGGTGTCGAGTACCTCGGCCAACAGGATCTCCATCTGGCACCTAAGACAACCAGCTTGGAGTTCAGATTCGCGTTGAGGTATAAGGTCCAGGGTCGGAAATTTGAGGTGTAGAGCCCTTTTTAGGTGATTCCCTTTCTTCATGCCAAGTCACATATACCATGGCCAAGCACATAAGCTCGCCAAACCAAGCATAAGACACTTGTTTCTAGCACGACCAGCTTACAGCGACTGAGGTGAGTTCCGTGCTTACGACACGACGCCTGAAAGCATTCAAAGCCTATGCCTGCAGACCAGTTTAGCCCTAACCCCCGCCAAGAAGAACACTGATCTTTGGAGGACGTCGGTGTATGCCTGTGTATGTATGCATACAGATATATGTCTATACATATATACATACATACATACAGACATACATACATACATACATACATACATACATATACATAGACATATAGATTGCGATTATTGTGGTTGTATGTGTATAGGTTGCACATTTTCTGCGTTTGCCTTACATTTTTTGCACGTGTCGGTTATAGGCTAAATGAATGCTATCGAAAACCGTGCGTGCGCCACGTGGCAAGGATAGCCTGAAGGGCTCTGGCGCTATTGTGCTTTGAAGGTTTCTCGTGAGGCCCATGGAGGGGCGGAGGTTATGAATCCACTGCTTACATACGCAAAGTGTCGGTAAGTACCGGTAATGTAGGGGCCTTAATAATTATAATAGGGTTTTGGGGACCATTATACTATATTTGCAATAAGGAACCCCTAAAATAGTATAGGTAATTGTTTAGGCCACGACATTAAAAGCAACTGGTGATATGAGTACTTATCCCCGGAGGTTCCCTAGTCCTCACCCGAACCAAGTGTCCGGATCCATTCAGTACCTCAGTACCGGGTCCTAGGACGACTCTCAAGTATTTCATCAGAGCCCCTAAGCCGAAAGCATTGCAAGCCCCAGACTTAAGCTCCCTAAACCCTAAACCCTTCAACAACAGCCCAAACCCCCGAGACCTTGAAACCCTCAACCAAATAGCCTACTAAGCACTAAGCCCTAAACCTTAAACCCTAAACGATCCCAGACCCCTCTGTTCCCAAAGGCTAAATACTAACAGCCACCGCCGCTTCAGCCCAGCTGCACGATGTTCTCCATCCTGCCATGGATGGTGTACGCCGTCATGGCCTCTTGGAAGGTAGCGTCCTCGATTGGGTCTTCCTCCACATCCTTCAGGGTTTAGGGTTCGGAGGTTGAGGCTTCAGGGGTTCAGGGGTTTAGGGTTTGGCGACTTTTGGGCATAGCGGGGTCTGAGACTTTTGAACTTAAGAGTTGCCGGCCTACACGCCTAGGGTTTAGGAACCCCCTGCAGTTTTTGGGTAGGCTCTGAGGGTCCTGAAATTGGGACAAGGATGCCTGGAGCCTTGGCCCTTTACGGCCTTCAGGGCTTAGGGTTTAGGGCCATTTTTCTGCTTTAGGCATTTCACCGGGTCTTGAAGCTAAGGAATCTGGGAGTTAATGCTTGGGGTTTGGCGAGTCTGTCGGGTTTTGGCGCTTAGAGCTAGAGTTTGGGGGTGCGGGGAATATACAGGATTTACTTGAGGGTGTCTGGTCCTGTGCAGGAGTTAGTGGGGCTCTTCCGGGTTAGAGCTTTGGCTTCGGATAAAGATGGGTCAAGCAAGTCTCAAAATCAGCACCCCCGAAGCCATAAAGGTCCCCAAACCTTGGCATGGTGCGTATTCTCAGAAGCTACCTTCCGCAAACCCTAAACTCTTTATTCCAAAAAGTCGTGCTGAATTGCAGACGGCACTCAGAGCCGTCGCTGACGCTCTGCTCCGCCTGTGACCAACCGGCTCGGGACCCACTAGACCGTGTGGCTCGATGCATGATTAGCTCCTTTTCCGCTTTAATTAGGGTTAGGGTGTAGGGTTTCGGGTTAAGGGTTTAAGTTTCTTTGACACTCACACCCTAAACCCTAAACCCCAAACCCCGTTTAAGCTTAGGGCTTGGGGTTTGTATATGGGGTTTAGGGTTTCCGGTTTGGCGGTTGGGGAGCAACCCTAAACAACTGGAACTCCGAAGCCCGCACCCCGATAAGGCGACAGCTTTGGCTTTATAGGGTTTAGGGTTTTAGGGTTTGGGGTTTAGAGTTTCGGGCCTTAGGGTTTGGGGTTTAGAGTTTAGGGCTTTAGGGTTTCGAGTTTAGGGCCGTTTAGGGCTTTAGGGTTTGGGGTTTAGAGTTTAGGGCTTTAGGCTAACAGCCGTGCCGAGCCGTTGTGGTTTCAAGACAAGGACATTTTCTTCACCGGGGTTTTGAAGCTGCTGACATGTAGATGAACAGCTGGACAAAGCGAAAGACCAGTATGTACATAGCCCACCAGATAACAACGGTAGTTCAAAATCTGTTAGATACCCAACTCCCCAGCTGCACTTTGCTCGGGTCCATTGCAACGGGACTTTCGGCATTCGGTTGCAGGGTCTAGTGTTTATAAGATCTGGGCGTTGGGGGTTCAGCGGTCTACGGGTTTAAGACTTCAGTAGACGTTCCATAGATTCTAAGCCATACAAGAGGGCTCAGTAGTTGTGTCTAGTTGCAGGCAGTTCTCAGTTTGACTTTTCCCTAACTCTTTTCCGTTCCCAGGAGCTCCTTTTTCCGGAAAATCCAGAACTGCGGGAAAACCTTAAGTGGAGTTCGAAGTACCTTTTTTCAAGTGGTGGTATACGAACATCCGAAAGTAGCTAACCTGATTCTAATCCTGCTGCCCAAGTCCCAGACCCCGAAAACCCTAAAACCCAAGCTCTAAAAGCCCTGACCCCTGAACCCCAAACCTTACAAGCCCTAGAAGCCCTGAACAGAAGCCCTGAACCCTAAGCCGTGGCTCTGCAAATGAGCTGGTGGCACCTTGCTCATGGAGCTCAGCGCACCTTCGAAGCGCCGCGCCACGTTCCTGGATTTGCGGCTTTAGAGGTTTAGGGTACATGGGAACCTTATTTTGGGGGGGTCCTTATAATAGGGATCCTATTATATGGGGTGCTATATTAGGGTCCCCCATTTTTTGAAACCCCCATATAGGGGTTTGTTTTTATTGCCGACCCGCCCGCCCAGCTGACAGAGTCGCACCACAGGTTGCCGTAGCTGCTGGCGAACCACTTTTACCAGGTTCTCTGCCCTAGGCGCCCGTTGACCCTAAACAGTGGGTGCTGCTCATTAAACCATCTGGTATGAACCTCACAGTGCCCAGAACCTAATCATACACTGTACTACAAAACTTCACCAAGGGAACCACAGAATGCCATAGAACAGAACCCTCTAAAACTGTGGGACGCACCCCAAAGGCGTTTAGAGCTGAGGGTCTCCACCATAAGGGTGCTCACGCCCACCTGCGCGCGAGACTTCGGTCAGGTTGAGGGCTCGATGTTCGAGGCTAAGGGAACTTAAAACCCTCTAGACCCTAAACTCTAAACTGAATAGAGGTCCCCTAAACCCTAAACCTCAGGGTTCGAACCTTTTGTTTGCATCACCTCTGTTCCCCCTGCCCCTACGGTCCGAAGCAAACGGTTCGAACTATGGGGTCCAGGGTAGGGTTTAGGGTTTAGGGTTTAGGGTTTAGGGTTTAGGGTTTAGGGTTTAGGGTTAGGGTTTAGGATGATGTATGGTTTACAGGAGGGTTTAGGTGGCCAGCACCTACTTTTGAGAGATTCCCGAAACTTTCACATCTTCCTCGCATGAAACCTGAACGGTAGGAGAGCCGAACTACGGGCTCTTGTATCAGGGGTTCGACTGCATCGAGGAACCCAAATATTGAGGACCCTTTAAGTGTATCGTATTTTACTATCAATGAGATCCTCACCATAAAACCGGCTATCCAATGAAAAGCCACTGCAAGTCTGTGTTTTGATGCAGTTCTACACCGGATACGACCGTGATGTTGTGGCTAACTCCAGCGATCCTACCTTGATTGCAAGATCTGACGGGCGGAGAGCTGCAGCGCTAAACCCTAGACCCTAGACTGTATGCGCACATCTTCAGCAAGAATCCGGAGCCCATCATCTCGGGCACACCAACACATCGCAGAGAACTCTGTCAACAACCATAAGCAACCTAGAAAGGGTGAACCCCCACACCTGCCTGTAGCCCTGGGCCCTAGGCACGACAAACGGACAGTTTCCAAACCCCAAACCCCCCCAAAACCCTAAATCCTAAGCCTACACCCTATGTAGACACTGAAAGTCGCCGTTTTTTGGAGTTGTGGAGCCACAGGTGAAGCCGCCATCCCCATCAACCCACCGCTAAAAATCTTCAACGAATCGGGACCCACAAGAAGAGCGCCAAAGAAAGGACGACCCCGGGATGCAGCAGCCCCATGTCATTAAAAGGCCGTGGCATTTGGACACTCCTCGAATTACTAATTTGGGATTTAAGGTTTAGGGATTAGAGAGTTAAGAAGGGCCTTATAAACCTTTCGCTTTCTGTCCTGCCAACCTCCAAGTCTTGCAATCCGAAAGCAGCGAACAACCTAAGGAACACGAACTTCAAGTCTATACCCTAAACCCTGAAACCGGTTCACCAGCATATGCATGCTCTGTTCAGTGTACCAGCAATAACCCACGCTCTCGCTCTGGTCGATCGAACTCCCGGGTCAAAGCAGGTCTAAAGGCGGGTGGCTTGTGTTTGCAATTGGGGTGTGCGGCAATCCTGCTGACCTCTGCCAGCTGGACGGAAGCAGTGTAGATATCTTGCAACCTCAGGTCGTGTAAGGCCTTGAAGGATAAGAACATATTTATTTGTAGGGTGCTCTGATTGAAAACATGGACCACAAGCAGCAAGCAACGATACTGAGAAGATTGCACGGCCAAACGGCTGTGGCTCAAGCAACTGCCACAGACTTTGGCTGGCGAGGTGTTGTACTTGGGAGCAGAGCTGGATACTTGATTTGCGACCCTCCACTAGCGCAGGGCTTCCCGGGTGGAGGCTTCATTGCTGACCCGCCATCTGGGAAAATTAAATCATCACTCCCTTCCCTCACCCCCCCCCACACTTTCCCCGACACGGCTGCTCTGAAGCCTCGAAATACCAAGAACATCGGATTTTTCAATGGCAAAGTTTCGAAATGTTAGATTAGAAGGGCGTGCAACAATGCAACTACAGGCACGCACCGACCGGCAAAGAACGCATCTTCGGAGTTTGAACATACATCTTCACGCACGACGTTGGAAAGAGTAGTCATCCGTCTGATATATAAAAACTGTTATTTCGATACTGCTTGCATTGCCAAGGTACTTTCGCTCGACGTAGGACGGTGAATCCTCAGATGCACGCAGACATGTGAGCCGAAACAGTTGGAAGAAGAAGGTCCTGCTAAACAGCATCCTGTACTCACAACCAGCACATGGAGCCCTAAACTTTACCCTAAGCACTGCACCCCAGAGGTACTAAGCAAGACGCCTCAACCCTGCGGCGGCATTGCACCATCATCGTGAGTTACTGATGCTCAATATTCATCACCCAGGTCTTGAAAGGTCCCCGTTCATGAGTAACCTGACTTGGCTTGGATAATATAGGGGGCTTAAGAATTAGAATAGGGCTTTGGGGCCCATTATACTGCAATTATACAAAGGAGACCCCAAATAGCATTGGTAATTATTTAAGCCCCTATATTGCAGCAAGCTTCCTCAACAGGTGTCCTTCAGAGAACTTCCTGAGGTCTACTTGGCCCACGGCTCTCCAAAAGTCATCCGCAAAGGATGTTCCAAGTCGCTCGCCGGTTTTTTTTTGGTTCAGGGTTGAGGATTTCAATCTTCCCTTCAAGATCCCTTAGGTAGCAGTTTAGTGCTTGGGGCTCTAGGAAGCAAGTAGCCAACCAACGGACTCAACTCCGATACAACTATCTCGCTCCTCTCAAAGCCAGTCTTGGCCCGCGCAGTACTTCTAATTAACCTACCTGACCGCGCAAAACGAACAGCATACTCTTAGCAAACAACTTGTATCTAAAGTAAACTGCCCATGACCACCCCGTAATGGGTAGGTGTCGAAGGGTCGAAGGGTGCAGGCAAATTTGACCCTAAACGACGAAGCGTGCAACCTCAAACCGCAAGCCAATGTTTCTAACTTTCACCTCACACTGTACCCGACACAACAACAACTGGAAACATCAGCTGCTCTTGCGACTCCCAGCGGCGCCCTGCAAGTCCATGTCAAAGTCGATATTCTGAGTCATGAACCTCAGATGAAGTTACCGGGGCAGTTAAAGTTTAGGGACTGGTGGGTGATCAGGAAAGTTGGCATAAGTCTGGTGGAGCCCTGGACGTTCTCGTGGTAGGGCATTAATCATTTTCTTCGATGCTACTAAAATGTTTAAGGTTTCTCGCATCTCTCAACGAAGACCACCCACGCCGTAAGCTCGAGCTTCTCAACCCTAAGCTGACCCAACGTAGCGCAAAGCCTTTACACTCGATTCATGCAGCCTCTTCTGGGAGGGAACCAGTCGAAGGTGTCCCTGAATTCAGCTGCAAGGGGCGTCAAAGGAAGATCGTAGCCGAACGCCTCATACTTGTCGGCAGAGTCCTGCCAGCGATCGGGTCACCAGAACCCTGGAAGAAAGGAGCAGTAGTAAAGCAGTATTAGTAGTAGTAGTAGTAGTAGTAGGAGGAGGAGGAGGTGGAGGCGGAGGAGGAGGAGGAGCAGCAGCAGTAGTTGCTGTAGCTGTAGTGAAAGTAGGCTACTATCCTTCTGTACATACATAACTTGCATACAGATACAGTATGGTAGCCAGACACAAAGACAGATATAAGTCTTGCTCAGTTGATAGGTTGCTTATGTGTGCCTCAGATCCTGCACCCGAAACTCCGGTCGACCCACCCCGATCCTGCCACCAAAAGGGAGCCAATTCCTCTCAACCTAAACCCTAAACCCTAAACCCTAAACCCTAAACCCTTCAACCGAACTTCGCTTCGGAAGGACCCTGCGCAGTCGTGCTGACAACCTAATCGAGTCGACTGAGCTCCAAGGCTCGAACCCGGCACTGCTCCTGCAAACCCTAAAATGAGGGTTTGGGATTCAGGGTACAGGGTTTAGGGTTTTAGGTTTAGGGTTTAGGGGCCCTAAAAGGGCTGTAGAGTTTAGGGTTCAGGGGGCCCAAAACCCTAAACCCTAAACCTGCATTTCGAGGCAGCTGGTTGAAAACAACCCCACCCCCCTGCCCCCAGCGCATGTCTCCTGCTTGCCGCAGGACCAGTCTTGAATCCTTGGAGAAGTACCAGTGTGTAACGCAAGAGCACAGTTATCCACATAGTGGTAACTGGGCTTCTCGGGTAGGTCAGCTTTTGCTTGAATACGTGGGAGAGGACGCGCTGATTGAAACCACACGTAACCGTACGTCCTAAACCGTCAGTCCGAAATTCTAAACCCTAAGGGTGTCATATAAGAGCACCATAATAAGGAACCCTAAAGAGCTATGTTTTGTAGGGTCCAGGCAGACCCTTACAGTAACCAACCTAAGACCTGATCCCTAAACACCAACACCGAATCCTACTGTTCATGATATACCCTAACCCCCCAGGTATAGGGTACTAGAGCCCCCAGGGCCCTATATAGTAGGTACCTGGGGGGTTAGGGATAACTCCTGCATCACCTTAAGGATCCCAAACTATGGGAGATATGGTATATTCCGTATCATGAACCGTAGTTCCCTGAGCTTCTCCAGGACAGTGGCCGCGCAAAGGACTAAGCCCGAAAGCTATCAGTCCTAGACTCCTGACCCCTTACGCTTTCTAAGTACGAAAACAGTGCGTACTTCCAGGTTTGCCTCCTATACTCGCCAGGGTACTACTACCTCTAGGTAGGGTTTGGTAGTGAGACCCCTAAACCCTAAACCCTAAACCCGGGTTTGGGGCTTCAGGTTTAGAGTATACACTTCTAAGAAGGCCAAAACAAAAGAAGCAGATGTGTACTCGCAGCCCGTGGGGAAGGATGATCTTATCGGAGGTTTAGGGTTTAGGGGTTTAGGGTTTAGGGGTTCAGGGTTTAGGGTGTCCACCAACGATATTTCTCGAGTATTCCGCGTCACACGGGAAACAGAAGGTGCCTCGGAGTTGCTGTGAGCAGCCAAGCTGGAGCAACACCGGGTAGTACCCGGTAGTACAGCTTCAAGGCATTAAAGTCGCACTGTCCTTGTCCCAATGTGGCCTGTCTCGCTGGACCCCCTCTCCGCTAACAGTTCATGCAACTTCGTCGCATGTTGTATCGCATCGTAACCCCTCCTGCTTATGAAAAACTGACCATACGAAGCGCGAACTACACCCGCAACCCTAAGCCCTCACACCCGACACTAATCGCTATAAACCCTTGGCCCTAAACCCTCTACCCTGAATACTGCAACCCTAAACCCCATAAATCCTAAACCCTGAACACCTACAGCCTAAAATTCCGGCACACTCAACCCCAGTCAGGAACTCAGAGATTCACTGCTCCACTGCTTCAAGGAGTCGTCCTTGTCTGCCGGGCCAAGCATGCATCCTGAAGTGGTACTTGTCGGGGGTTTCAAGGATCACTAGCACTGAGGTTTCGGGTTTTGGGGGGTGCTCATAGGATGTTGAAGACTTGAGTAGTACTTAGCAGGTTTTGTGTCGCGGCCAACAGCTTGAGCATGTTGTCCTCTTCGAACCCGAAACCCCTAAACCCTAAACCCTAAACCCAATTGCTGGTTCAGAAGTTGAGGCTGTGCAAGGTGTCCGCAGGTGGTCTCGTGTCGCAACAAGCACGTGTGCTCTAGAACTCGGAGAGTTCAGAGGTTCCCTTTAAGGCAGACTATAGGGTTCTATGATAGGGTTCCTTCTAGGGGTTCCGGGAACCCGCCAGTCCCAGGGCAGTGGTTTAGGGCCAGGGTTTAGGGTTTAGGCTCCTCATACACACTGTGTTCGTAGAGTGTGTTTTGTGTTCCCGATCTTGGTTTATCGCCTACCTCAGAACCTGCCGATTGATTCCAAAGCTAGCCAAATCCTGCAAGCCTCAGAACTGAACCGTGTTTCTCCACGAGGGACTCGACTGCTGGGCAGCAACCCTAAACGCTAGATAGAACCCTTGATGCCGCTATCAGCCGCCGCGTTTTCAAGACGAAGAAGCAAAGAACTAACACACACACATACACACAAACCAACGACACCGAAGCTCTCTGAAAAGCTATGTGCCAAATTGTTCCGCAACCCTACACTTTGGGGTTTAGGCTGTCGGGTATCCCTAGCAACTTTGTGAAAGGTGACTCTTGGCGGTCCCGTGTTCTCGTTCCCTACGGAGACGAAGGCTTTTTTCCACTACTGTCCCTTTAACCCTACAGCTCAAAGAAGCAAGCATGCTCTTTTTGATTGTAAAGCCTTTGGGACTAGAGCCCATGCAGGTTGAGTTCGAAGGGCCATATGGCAAAGACTTAGACGGTGCTATCGGTGGGTCGATGTTGGTGTCAAAGTGTCCTCTTCATCGCTGCTGTCGCCGAGGGAATCAGATAAGCACGGAGTGCGCACCTCCAAAGCGATATTGGGTGGCTGGATTCTTGAAACTAGGAGCCTCGTATTTGGCGGTCCTGCTCGGGGTCTATCTATCCGATTTACCTTTGTAACTATGAGTCTGTCAATCTTATTATCTATGTGTCTACTTCTCTGTCTATCTGAACCGTCGATGTATCCATCTATCTATCTACCTATCTATCTACCTACCTATCGATCATTCTCGGATTTGGGGCTGCCCTCAACACGAAACCCAACTTGCGCACGCCAACTCTGGACAAGACCCAGGAATCACGTGCACCCAGCACCCTACGTCACATTCAACTTGTGGCTGCAAGCCCTAAGTTCAAGCCCCAGAGCCCTGAGCCCTAAATGGGGTAGTTCTCTTAATTAAGGTCCCTTTTAAGGCCTTTTTGTGAGTGTTCCATACTACATTTGGGACCCAAAGGCAGTTTGCGTGGCTTTTGGGCCCAAAACCGTGCATCAGCCGATCAGACAATCAACCCTGTTTTGAACCCATGCTCTGATCATCAGCTGGGAAGTCGGCCAAACAATTGCTCCGCACAACGTGCAGCGACTGAACTCTGGAAGTTGAAGAGCCCTAAACCCTAAACCCTCAACCCCTGAACCCTCAACCCCTAAACTCTAAACCGCTAAACCGCTAAACCCTAAACCCGACCAGCCGATCAGCCGATCGGCTGATACGCAGTTCGGAAACCGCCAAACTTTCGTCACATTATTTAGGTCCCTTCTTTGCGGATCTTCGGGCGTATCTGCGGGTTCAGGATATAGGTAGCTCTTTAAAGTAGGGTCCCTGTTTAGGTCCCCCCCATTTTAGTACGGCTCCCGGACCCCAGAAGGTATTCTAATTTAGAAAACTACCCATATAGAACCCCTTATAGTACCCTTATAGAAACCTTATAGATCCCTTTGGGGAACCCCTAAAAGGTACGCTAACCTAGAGAACTATGGCAGAGCCTAAGGTTTGGAGATTCCGTTTCGGATTGCGGGCCTTTGTCAGCAACCTGAAATAGGATTTGGGGTTTATAGGGCTTATTTTTAGGGTTTATAGGGTTTAGGGTTTAACGGCATAATTATAGGGTTTGTAGGGTTTAGGGTTTATAGGGCTTAATTATAGGGCTTGTAGGGCTTATGGTTTAGATTGTAACTGAGAACTGCCTCTACGAGCGTCCTGCTTTTGAAGCTCTAGGATTGATTTCATGAGGTTTCTAGGCATGCGACTATCTCACTTGCGGGGTTTATTGGCAGTCGTACCAAACAGGTGTACGTGCAGGTTGCTCTTTTGCTTAGTATATAGGTCGTCCTTTTTGCATCCAGGACTCTTGCAAGCAGTCGTCCTAACCCCTTAAACCTTCAACCACTAAACCCTAAACCTAATTCCGCACACATCGGGGGTTTACATGGAAGGGCTTGGAACAGAAGTGCAGGGGCTTGCAGAACTTAGTCGAGTCTCAGTGTTCAGTGCGACAATTTGGGTAGTTCTCTACATTAGGGTTTCTTTTTAAATTTTGCATTGTGCTCGCAAAGTGTGTAAGCTATGAGTATATACCGTGCTACTGGGAACCCAATGTCCTTAAAGACCCTTGCTAAAGCCTTACTGAAACCTGTAGACAAGACTTGGGAAACTGTTGGAAAATCAAAGCCTGAAGCTCTACAACCCTACAACACACCACGAAACAACACTGCGTTTCTTGCAACATGCTTCTCACCTCCAACGAATGTAAACCCCAAACTCCAAACCCCTGAAACCCTCAACCCTGAAGCCCTAACCCTCGACAGCAAAGCCTAAACCCTAAATCCTAAACCCCGCAACCCTAAACCCTGAACCCTAAACCCTCAACGACAAACCCTAAACCCTAAGCCCCTAAACCCCTCAACCCCAAACGCTAAACCCTAAACCCTAAACCCTTACACCCTAAAAAACATGGGCCGCGCCAGGAGGCCTCTGAAGTGCGGCATCGCCGGAACAGGCGCGAAGCCTCCAATGGTGACTCAGCTTCGAGGCCGGGTAGGCCTCGGGTTTCTTAAGGTTGTTGCTTTAGGAGTTTGGGGTTTAGGGTTTAGGGTTTAGGAGTTGAGGGTTTAGGGTTTAGGAGTTGGGGTTTTGGGGTTTAGGGTTGAGGCTTTAAGGTTTGGGGCTTGAAGCTTCAAGGTTTAGGGTTTGGTGTGTAGGGCTTTGGGCATCTGATTGTGTGCCGCGGCTGGTAGCCTGCGGTGTGAGATAGTGCTACTTCTGGGTGGCGGCACATCTTGCGTCAAACGACTTCCTTTGCATAATAGCATCACTGGGTGAAGCCGGAAGCTGTTTTTACGCAGCCACTGTGACACACATCATTGTACTATATACACCAAAGCCCTCTTCCAAAGTTTAAGGCCCCCCTATGGCGCTCTCAGTTCCTCATAGTCCCTATTGTAATCATGCTATGATATACCCAAACCCATTCTAACTATCAAAGCCCCTGTAGCAGGCGCTTTAGACCCTGTCGCTTCTGGGGGCCTTGATTGCAATAACTCCAGTGACATTCTGAATGCTAAAGTCCCCCACGATCCCGCCAACTGGTTTAGGGTTCAGGGTTTAAGGGTTTAGGGTTCAGGGTTCAGGGTTTAGGGTTTGGGGTTTAGCTTCATCCTTGATACTCGACCGTCATACTCTACATCCTAAGACCTGTCGAGAGCCCTTACTTGACCCTTGAAGGACCCCTTTAACCCTGAGCCCTAAACCAAAAGAAACCCTACACCCTCAACCCTTCTACCCTAAACCCTAAACCCTAAAACCCTAAAGCCTAAACCCTTTGACCCTAAACCCTAAAACCTAAAACCCTAAAGCCTAAACCCTTTGACCCTAAACCCCTAAACCCTAAACCCTAAACCCTAAACAAAACATGGGCCGCGCCAGGAGGCCTTAACCCTTTAAACCCTAAACCCTAAACGAAAAGACACCCAAACTCGGAATCTAAAAAGCACGGCGCGCGGTTCAGGCCACCGGCTTCTCACGACGAGGAGTGCTTACGATTACGGCTTTAGCCTCAAGGGTTGTAGGGTTTTGGGTTTAGGGTTTTAGGGTTTTAGATTGTAGGGCGCAGGAATGTGTAGGATTTAGGGCTTGGGGCTGAAGGTTAAGGTGTTAAGGGTTTGGGAGTTTGGGGGGGTATGGGTTGCTCGGGGAGTTTGGGTAAGCCCTACACCCCAAAACACTCTAAACCCTATAAGCTCTCCAAAGGTTCTTTAGGTTATGGCTGGTTTAAGGGTTCAGGGCTTAGGGTTTAGGGGTACAAAAGGTTGTGTACAGGGATCTATATGGGTTAAGGGTTTAGGGTTTAGGGATCTATATGGGTTGTAGAGGACTTAAGATTGGGTGCTCAGAGGGTCATGGAAACTCGGCAAGCAGGTTACAAGAGGGGATATAACAGAAGGTAGGATGGCCCCGGGTAGATCCAATTGTTTAGGGTTCCCAAATCAACATGCATGTACAACATCCTTTGGCCTTTAACCTAAACCCTAAACCCTAAACCCTAAACCCTAAACCCCTAAACCCTAATAAGCCCGGAGGCCGGCTTCTTGAGAGCCAAAGAATTCGAACGTGGGCGAGTGTAGGGGTCTGAGTGGCGGCGTCCCCGTTTTTGTCGCCACGTGGTTCATGCGTGCAGATACCCCAAGTCACCGTTTTAGGGTTTAGGGTCCCGTTCAGGGTTTACTTGGAGGTTCATGGGTAGTTGTAAGTGGATTTATAAGTGAGGTAACTACAGTTAGAACCCATATTACGGGACTTATAGCCCCAACTACTCATGAACCTCCAAGTAGGGTTTAGGGTTCTGAGTATTCAGGCTCCTACAGTATTCGTCCCTAAACCCTAAACCCTAAACCCTAAAGGACGGATCCTCCGCGACGCTGCAAATCTTCTGGCACCGCGCTGGGTGGCTAGTGCTTCTGCTGTTCTGCCAGTCGAGCTCCTCCTTCATCCTTCAGCGCTTCTTGGCCTGGAGCTATCTGGGAGTTTCCGAAAATAAGGGGTACCTTATTTTGGGGTCCTTATAATAGGGATCCTACTATTTAAGGTACTATATTAGGGTCCCCAATTTTTGGAAACCCCCATCTGAAGGGTTCTACAGGGGCCTTTAGTGGCTTTACCAGGGCCTGATGGGTGTTGCACGGAACTTTTCCCCAGGACTTCACCGATTCCTAAGAGACTTCAGACCAGGACCCCCGAAATCCCGAGTCGATCGGACTGGATTAGGGTTTTTGTTTAGGGTTTAGGGTTTAGGGTTTAGGGTTTAGGGTCTAGGGTTTAGGGTTTAGGGTTTAGAGTTTAGGGTAGAGAATGTTATCGTCATGTTGTGTCACAGTGACATATAAACGATAAGAATGCTGCTGCCAAAGATTCAGTTCCCGTGGAATATAGAAAACCCTAAACCCTAAACCGTCTAGGGGCCTTCATCAGAAGACTCGGGTTACGGAGGTCCTTATACTCGAATTCTTCTACGCTAAGCCTTAACCTCACGTGAGGAACCCCCAAGGAAGAGTACTAGACCCTAAACCCTAAACCCTAAGCCCTAAACCAAGTATTAGTAGCTATTTTGGCTTCGATCGTTTTTGAAGCTCCAAGAGCTTTGGGGCTCCAAACCCCAAAGTTCCACAAGGAAGCCTCTTTCTAATGGGTTTAGAGTTTAGGGGGTTAGGGTTTAAGGTTTAGGGTTTACGGAGTATCCCCTGTGGTCCCCGAATCTTTATACTAGAAATATACACCAGAACCTTACTCTACTCATGAAGGGCCCCTCTACTACGCCCTCAGTTCCTTCTAGTCCTTACCGTAGGTATGCCGTCATGTACCCGAAGCCTTTTCTAAAAGGAGCGGCTCGTGGCCCTAGGGGGGGCGCCCAGATCACTGGGGTTTAGGGTTTAGGGTTTAGGGTTTAGGGTTTAGGGTTTAGGGTTCAGGGTTTAGGGTTTAGGGTTTAGGGTTTAGGGTTTAGGGTTTACGCTCCAAAAACCGCGGACGG